GCCCTCTCAGTGAAGTTGTTAGAGACGGGAATAATGGTCCTCTGAGGCAGGAGTGAGCTTGCAGATGCTGAGAGCCAAGGGGATTGACTGCCCGAGTCCAGAGTCCAGGCTGGCTGCGGCACTACCACTGCCCTAAATGTGCTGGACACAAAGGCCATTCCCCTTTGCACCACCTTTCAAAGTTAATGAAAGGGACACTGCTGAACCTAGGCTGGGTTTTGGCGGTTTCAGGTGGGACAGTTTCGACACAGCAAGCTCGGCAACCCCAACTCTGCAGGGTCCCTGGATGGAGAGCTCGGGCAGCGGCAGAAAGCGGAAAATGTTACCCAAAAGCACAGCTCGTGTTGGGCAAGTACCTGGTACTTCCCGAGGAAACCCCGCCACAGGAGGCTCAGGACACCGGGCCTTTGCTGTCACCGAGCCTCCATTCCCTGCCTCCAGCTGGGTCCCCTGGTAGCACAGTGAGCTGCGCACAGTGAGCCTTTCTTTAGGACTTAAACCAGCCCGCTGCCATGGTAGCTCTCCACACAGGCAAGGCACTTCTCCTGCCACTCGCTGCAGGGGGCAGTCACGTGAGCATGTTCTCTGCTTTGCCAACAGCAAAACTCATTTTGAAGACAGCACTCTTTCTAGATGAGAGGAATTATTACTCCCTATACCTCATCGTCCCCTCCCATCATGCAGTCATTTCAGCTTCACTTCAAAACTAGGCAAAGCAAAGAAACAATAAAGCTGTGGTACTCTGAAATCCATAATCCCCCTCCACATGTCAGTGTGAAAGCTGCCGAGTCCCCTCTAAGCACATTAGCAGCCAATACAAGGCCATTCCCAGCTATCAGACTATTTTGAAATAAACCCAAATTATTGGGTAGAAGAATAGGCCAGACATAATTCCTCTATTTAAGTTTCTCATGAAACTGTATCCCTGTGATTGGAAACTCCTGCCACAATTCAAAATTAACAAAGGATGCAGACAGTGTTGATGAAACATTAATGACCAATTTGCAAATGTTCTAGGACCCCCTGAGTTCACCACGGGTTCATCAATGCGGCATTCACCCTCTTACTTTATTCTTTCAATTATTTAGCATCCATTAGGCGCCCACAGTAATCTGAGCTCCAGCAACCTTTCACCCCATCCCTTCCCTGGCGGCTTCATTCACCTGGTGTCCTTCTAACTGCATCGGCCGATCGACCTCTGCCTGAAGGCAGGAAGCTCATTTGGAAATCACTCTCTGGGCATCCCTTGCATTACATTTCCAAGTGCTGAGGACACATGACAATGACCAGGATATGACAGAAGCTCTGAGACCTTTTCCACTGTCCCAGTGCATCAGAGGGAACCGGGCCTGAATGTGAGACCCAGTGGTCCCTCCGTCTGTGAATTCTTCAGACCCACTTTGACTGGGCTTCGTGGACTCAGCCACTTAGTATTTACTGAGCGCCTGCAGTGTTCCCAGCATTATGTCATGAAGGGCAATGCAGCAGCCACAGCTGTGGTGGAGGCCGAGCCACGTTCCCATCACAGAGATACAGGCCACCGTATCTCCGAATGGAGTAGGAACCACCCAGGAAGGAGGACTTGGCCACATGAAAGGACACCCCCTTGCTGCCTGCTACAGACTCTATGCATCTCCAGTCACCCAGACTGAGTCTAGAGGTCCCCGGAGTGCATTTTCTTCACAATTCCCTGAGCCCTGCAGGATAGCATTCTGGTCTTTACTTCAGCAGAAAGGCCCTGCCCTAGCCTTTCCCTCCTTCTGGCTCTCAGCACCTCTGAAAAGTGCTCAGATCATACATGACACTGCTACCACAGAGGAAGTCACAGACATGCTGAATGTGGGTACAAACACAGTGTCCTGCGGCCAGGGCAGAGAGAAAGCTCTGGGCTGAGGAATGCGGTCTGACCTCATGGCAGCAGAGCACTGGAGCTGGTCTTGCCTGACCATGCTCACCAACAGAACTAACGATGACTGATGACAACCCCTGCGCCCACCATCTATTTACTATTTGTGTTTCAACTGCAGGGGTGGAGGAAGAGGAGAGAACCTAAGGCAGGTGCCATGCGGGAAGGGGAGGTGGCCCACACTCTGCCCCTTAAAGTCAGGCCCACCACGCTACCTGCTCAAAATCCTCTACTTTCTTATCAATTAATGTTCCTAAAATAATGATGATGAGGATGATAATCTAATATAAGACGACGCTTTTATAGCACCTTTCACATGTCAGGCACTATTCCAACAGCTTCCATGTATCAACTCGTGCAGTCTTCACAAGCATGTCCCATATTATTATTCTCGTGTCATAGACGTGGAGACTGAGGCACATGTAGTGGCCAGGATTTGAACCTGGGCAGCCAGTCTGAAAGGCCACACATTGGAACCATTTTATAATAACTGCCTCAAAACTCATATCTCATTCCTTCCACGCTCAAAACTCTTTTCTCACCTCCTATTCATTACCAAATTCAGCTCTAACTCCTAAGCCTGGCCTCACCCAACCTACCTCCAAAGTCCCTTTGTACCTTTCTCCCCACAAATCCCCTGCAGCCCGTTCCATTCCATGCATGAGGCCTGAAGCATGAGCCTGAGGTCCAAAGCCTTACTGTTCTCAGAGAGTAATCCTTAGTCTCTCCCGCCTGCGCCTTGACCTGGCCTTCTCCCTGTTTCTGTATATTCAAATCTTACCCATTTCTGCTCCAGGAGCTTCCTCTTCCCATACTGCACATCTCCCACTTCTCTGAATCCCGAAACAACTTTCCATAATACCTCCTTCCAACCTTGACATTGAAGTTTCGCATAGGAAAAGGGGGTTGTAATGCACAGTGTACAGCTGAATGTATTTCCTCTTTTCAGTAGTCTCTCTTCCTATTGTCCCAGGATTAGCCCACTGTCCCCCATCTAACATTTTCCTCTCCCTTGAAGTTGAAGCCCATCCTATATTTCTGACTGAACCTGAAAGCCTGGAAGGAGCAGTTTTGGAAGGGCATTCTTCCTGCTTCAGCTCTCTCTTAGGGTCTCTGATCTTTGAAGGAATAGTGTGGTTGGCTGAGCATTTTTTTTCTTAGGTTCATTTTGTTAGAAATTGTACTTCTTGTGAGAATGAAAACAAACAGGGACATATTTCAATATCCCTTAGTCCCAGTCAGGCCTTACTTATTACTAATCCTACCCTATCTCTTAGCTTAGTATGTAACCCAAGCTGCAACAAAGGGAACAAATCAGGGGCCATCTTTGATCCACTGCACAGTCCTAAGGAGCATTCTGAGCAGAAAAACTGCCTGCCTCCTTCTCAACCCACTCAGAGCTTTGCCTTCCTAAGGGACTACAGCATAACCTGTACTTTTAACCTGGTGTTTCTCTCATTTGGAAAAATATCTTACATTTCCTACATACTCCCAAGCTTCTTAGAGGTTGACTTAATGCTCTATTTTTCTTTATATTCTCTGTAGTGCCTTGTATAAAACCTATCACTTAATAGATGTTCAATAAATATTTGATGAACGAATGAGTTTTCCCAACAGGACCAATATTATAAGCACATAAAGAATAAATTAATATAAAAATAATATTTATATTAGAGAGACCCAAGATGGAAGCATAGGTAAAGACCTGGAAAGAGAAGTCCCCATAACTTTGGGCTGTAAAAACCAGCCGGGATTGTGGCTGAGTGACATGGAGATTGCTGGAGATCCAGGCAGTTTCTCTGAAAGGGCTGGTGTATGAACTTACATGGACTCACTTCCTCTGAACTCCAACAATGGAGCAATAACTCAGGGGGATCCAGAGACATACAGGGAGGAACTGGATTGTCTGGCATCAAAGCAAAAACTTGGGGACAGCTTTCTATAAGACAGAGGTGCTTGCAGGGGTCACTGTTCTTATTCTGAGACCTTCACCATTGCAGAGTTGATTGGCAGCCATATCTGAGGTTCAACCATCCTGGCTCACACTGTTCGCTCTGCCCTGGTGATTCCATGAGACCCCACCCCATCCAATTTGCAGCCTCACCCAAACTGTTTGCAGTGGCTTTTCCATATGAATGGCCTGTCTTGGTTCAGACATCAGACTTACCTAAAATCTCTCAAACAAGCAGCAGCTGGCATCGCTGTGCCCCATACCTATCAATAAGACTCCCCATCTGGGCATGTCTAAGCCCAACACAAGTAGCAGCCATCCGTAGATTGCTTTGTAGTTCCTAGGCAGTAATTGACTTTGGACCTCCCAGAAGGCCCCAGAGCCAGTGCATCCAGTGGACAACTTCAAACCATGTCATATTACAACTTCACACATCCACAAGCTATACATTCAAGAGGTAGACTCAGTTAGCACCAAAGCCCCATTGAAGCAAGTCCTGCTCCATAGGGGTGTCTCCTGCACAGCAGCTCTTCCATTGTAGTTGCAGCTGTTCCTCACAGCCAATTGGCCTGGAGGTCAATTCCTCTCAGTGACGCCAACAGCAATCAAAGCTCAACTACAAGAAGACAGTGCATACAGCACACACAGGGGCACACCTAGATGCCCAGCTCAGGTGACAGGGGAGGCTAAGCCACTGGGCCATAAAGGACACCTACTATATAAGGCAACTCTACCAACCCCAGGGGACATAGCAGCTCTACCTAATACATAGAAACAAACACAGGAAGCAGCCAAAATTCAGAAACAAAGAAACAAGTCACAAATGAAAGAACAGAAAAAATCTCCAGAAAAAGAACTAAATGAAATGGAATTAAGCAAATTACTATATATAGAATTCAAAATAATGGTTATAAGATTGTTCAAGGATCTTAATGAGAGCTTCAAGGGACTTAGTGAGACTTTCAAGGACCTTAGTGAGAATTTCAAAGACATGAAAAAGGATCCATCAGAAATTAAGCATATACCAACTGAAATAAAGAATAATTTATAGAAATTCAACAGTTGAATAGATGATTCAGAGAATCAAATTAATGATTTGGAATATGAGGAAGCAAAAAACACCCAATCTAAAGACCAAAAAGAGTGCTTGCATTGGCAGCATATATATTAAAATTGGAATGATACAGAGATTAGTATGGCCCCTGTGCAAGGATGACACGCAAATTCATGGAGCATTCCATATTTAAAAAAACAGAAAAAAGAAGACAAAAAAAAAATCCCAAAATATGAAGATAGTATAAGGATCCCCTGGGACAATCTCAAATGTACCAACATTCACATTATGGGGTGCAAGTAGAAGAGAACAAGATATTGAAAACCTATTTGAAGAAATAATGACAGAAAACTACCCTGATGAAAGAAATACACTTACAATTCCAGGAAACACAGAAAGTCCCAAACAAAAGGAACCCAAAGAGGTCTACACCAAGACACATTATAAAACCCAAGATTTAAAGAAAAAGAGAGACTCTTTAAAAGTAGCAAGAGAATAGCAATTACTTACCTAGAAGGGAGTGCCCATACAACTGTCAGGTGATTTCTCAATAGAAACTTTGCAGGCCAGAAGAGAGTGGCAAGAAATATTCAAAGAATGAATAGCAAGGACCTACAATCAGTATTATTCTACCTAGCAAAATTCTCATTTAGAATGCAAGGTCAGATAAGGAGCTTCAGAGAGGGAAAAAAAAGCTAAAGGAGTTTATCACCATCAAACCAGTATTACATGAAATGTTAAAAGGTATTTTTAAGGAGAGGAAGAAGCAGAAGGAAAAAAATAAAAAATAAGAATAATAAAATAGCAATAAATACATATCTATCAACAATTGAATATAAAAAGCAAAATAAATGAACAAAATATCTAATGAACAAAATGAACTGATGAATTAAATTAGGATCAGAGGCATGGAAACATGCAACAGACTGACGAATCTCAGAGGGAAGGAGAAAGTAGGGGTGGAAAGAGATTAACCAAAGATCTTTTATGCGTACTAGAGGCTCAGTGCACGAAATTTGTGCAAGGGGGGGGGTGGTAAAGGGGCCCATCAGCCTGGCCTGCACCCTCTCTCAATCCAGGACCTGGCAGGGGATGTCAGACTGCCAGTTTAGGCCCGATCCCTGCAGGATCCCTGCAGATCAGGCCTAAACTGGCAGTTGGACATCCCTCCCACAATCTAGGACCACTGGCTCCTAACTGCTCACCTATCTGTTTGGTCACTCCTAACCGCTCACCTGCCTGCCTGATTGCCCCTAACTGTCCCTTCCTGCCTGCCTGATTGCCCCTAACTGCTCCCTGGGGGGCAGGACCAGCCGGGGCTATTGGCTGTAGTATTCTGATCTCTGGTAGTGCTGGTAGTTCCACCTTTTCAGTAACTGGGCTTTTATTATATCGGATATGAATCACCTACAGACATAGACAATAAGTGAAGGCCTGGAGTGGGGTGGGAATCGGGTGGAGGGGGAGCAATAAGGGGGAAAAAGAGTGACATCTGTAATACTTGCAACAGTAAAGATTAAAAAAACAAAAAGAAAGTGTTTGATGTCAATTCTTCCCAGTCGAATCCATATATTTAACACAATTTCAATTAAAATTTGAGCATAAGGCCGGGACCGGTTTGGCTCAATAGATAGAGCGTCGGCTTGGGGACTGAAGGGTCCCGGGTTCGATTCCGGTCAAGGGCATGTACCTTGGTTGCGGGCATATCCCCAGTAGGGGGTGTGCAAGAGGCAGCTGATCGATGACTCTCTCTCATCGATGTTTCTAACTCTCTATCTCTCTCCCTTCCTCTCTGTATAAAATCAATAAAATATATTTAAAAAATAAACAAATAAATAAAATTTGAGCATAAGTATTTGTAGAAATCTACAAGCTGAGTTTAAATTTTTATGGAAAAGCACAGGAATACCCTAAGCAATTCTGAAAAAGAACAAAGTTAGAGAACTCGCACTCCTTGATTTCAAGGTTTACTATAAAGAAACAGTAACTGAACCAGTGTAGGATTAAAGAAAGGATACAAGTAGATAACATGAGTAGACAGATATCCAAAATATGACATATGTGCCAGCTGATTTTTGAAACATAAAAATTCTTCTGTTGAGAAAGGAGAGTCTGATATTCAATAGGTACTGGAACAGTTGGATATCCATAAGCAAAAAGAGTAAAAAGGAACTTCAATCCACATCTTTCACCTACTGTAAAAATGAACTCAAATTGAATTTAAGTGTAAAATCTGAAACTATAAAACATTTAGAAGATAAACTTCGTGATTTAGGATTAGGCAAATATTTCTTAGTTACAAACCAAACATATGATCCATAAAAGAAAAAAAATGATACATTGGATCTTAATAAAAAGGAAACAACTCAATTTAAAAATGGATAAAAGATATAAATAGAGATTCAACAATATAGATGGCAAATAAACACGAGAATTATATTTAGTCATTATCTCTTGAAATGAGCAAAATGGAAGTTAAAAGCACAATAATTCTCACTAGATCTATTAGACAAACTAAATAACAAATGAGCCAGCCAACAAACAAAAATTCTGACAATACCAAGTGCTGGTGAAGATGCTGAGCAACAGAAACTATTATACATTGCTTGTGGGAATGTGAAATGGTTCAGTCACTTTACAAAACAGCAGTTTCTTACGAAGTGAAATGTACACCGATATGACCCAGCAATCCCATTCTTGAGTATTTATCCAAGTAAAATGAAAACTTGTATTCACACAAACACTGGCATGTAAATGTTTATTTATATTTGCCCCAAACTGTAACAACCCAAATATCTGTCACCTAGGAAATGGATAAACAAACAGTAGTTCATTCACACAATGGGATATTATTCAGCAACAAAAAGAAATAAACTACTAATAAACAACAACATGGATGACTCTCAAGGGTATCATGCTAAATGAAAAAAAATCAGGTTAAAAAAAGTTATATATCATTTGCTTCCACTTATATAACATTGTGGTGAAGATAACGGTACAGGGGCAGAAAACACCAGTAGATGCCACAGGCTGAGAGTGGGAGGCCAGGTCGGCTAAGGAAGCGCAAGGGAGAAGGGAATTTTGGGCAGATGGTGGGACTGTTATAAATCATGGTTGGCAGTGATTACATGACTGTATGCATTTGTGAAAACTTGTAGAAACTGTCTACAAAAGGATGATTTTTACTGTATGTAAATATATCTTAATTTAATATATAAAAGTTAAATAAAGTTTTAAGTTCACTGGATACTTAAGAAAGCAGACTATTTTCTGCCTTGGCATTGGCTCACTTGGTAATTTTAGGAAAATGTGCTTTTTTTTAGTTACCTAAGCCCTGCTTTTTTGGCAGCATTTATGGAAACTACTCAAGGAAATTCACTGAACTAGTCTCTTCGATTTGTCCACTGCACACACTAACAACTCCCCACCTGACTCTGGCTCTCATCCTCCCCTCTGCAGCCCCCAAAACTGCACTCTAAGATCACCCCATTCCTATCCACAGCGGCAGTGGTGTGGCCTTCCTGGTCAGCAGTTTGACTTTATTCCCTAATCTTTGAATCCCCACTGTCCTGTGAGGCCTCAGGCATCACATTCTGCCTAAGAAACGCCCATGGTCCCACCTCAAGGTCTGTGTTAACTAATAATCCTATATAATACAATAAAAGGCTAATATGCAAATTGTTCTCTCAAATAGGAGTTTGACCAGAGGGCAGAGCCAGTCAGCCAGCTGCCTATGGCCCTTCTCCCTGGCCAGCCTGCCCCCGACTCTGGTCATCCCCCCCACCACCCTGATCTGGGGTGGGGATGGCTGGCCAATTTCTTGCATCCTATCCCTCCCGGTCAGCCTGCCCTGATCTGCCCCAATCAGGGTGGGCCGGCCGGACCCCACCTATGCACAAACTCGTGCACCAGGCCTCTAGTATTATATAGTAAGACTTCAGAAGACACATTATTGAACACCCACTATGTGCCAAGTGCAACATAGGCACTTTACATTGGGGGCTCCTCACAGAAATCTAACAAGAGGAGTAGGTATTATATATAGTATTCCCATTTACCAATGAGGAAACTGACTTTAACAGGGTAGTCACAAAGCTCTTAGCCTGGGGCTTCGCTCACCTTGCTGTCTGGACAGCCTCTAATGCAGTGCCTGCCAGTATTTGCTGAGTCAATGAATATGAGAATGTCAAAAAGGGACAAACATATTCTGCGTTAAAAGAGACTTGAACTAGATTTGGTCTGCATTAGTTCTGGGGAGGCAGATTTCAACCAATACAAGAAACAATGTCCCCTGACCATGAGAGCTATTCTAAAATTCAAGGGGCTGTGGTTCAGGGTTGATCCCAGAATGTCCTTGATGCCTCTGAAGTCCTTCCATTAAGGCATTCTGGACCCGACTCACCTGGCAGAGCAGCACTCAGGTGCAGGATGAGCTGTGCTCCTGCTGAACACAGTTTAGGGAGATTTCATGTCCTCCCTTCTCCACTAAGCCTCGGCCTCCTTCTCTCTCCCAAGTCCTCTTTTCCGTGGCTGTGGAACAATCCAGGGACTCAGAGTTGGCCTTCCAGACACCTGATGGGCTCGGGCGACCCTGACACTCACACCACAAAGGCTTTCCCACACCATGTCATGTACTTTTTCCTGATGACCACAAAGGGAAGAGTGACAGTTATGGCCACAGAGTTCCTGAATCCTTTCCTGCATGTCAATGCTGTGTTAGCTCCTTGGTCTTCGTCGTATGGTAGGAGTTGGCAGCTCCTCTGCATCACGGAACCCGGGTCACTCTGCAGCTCTAGAAGCTGGGGCGGAGGGCAGTGGTGGCTGCCACCTCAGGTCTCTAATGGCTGACAGCCTCTTCCTTAGGAAAAGGGCCTCAGTGGTGGAAGCTGCCTACTCTGTAAAACCCACGTAAGAGAGAACTGAAGTCATGCGGCTAGGGGAAAAGTGTGCTGAACTATAAAACATTTGCCTGGTGTGATCCTGAGGGGCCCGCGGGGGCCTGGGGCCCACTCTCCCTCTGCAGGTCCTGCCCAGCAGCTGTGCAGCAGGTGCCCGGCAGGGCACTTCCCTTGTCCTGGGGACTGTGCCAGTCACCGGCTGGGCCCGCAGACTGCCTAGTGCGGCTGCTTCTAAAATTCATTTCAAGCCACATTTTGGCCCAAAGCCCTAAAGCTTCTTTTCAGGAAGAAAGTA